AAGTCCAGATCTAAAAACAGACGACCCGTCTGATCAAGAAAGTGATCTCAGTGTTACTGGAACTAATTTAGATAGTGAATCATCAAGTTTGCCTGGGAAAGATAACGAGTTTGATTCTCGATGGGAGGAACTAGGTCCAGTATCTAAGGCAGGCCCGTCCAATAATAGAATAAAACTGGGTTCTGATGGAGAAGCCAAAGATGAATCAAGTGAACTAACACATGGAAACTATGAAGCCCCATTGGATCGTGACTTGTCTGATTCCGATGAAGACACATCATCATCCACAAAACTGGACACTGGTAAGTCGAAAATGAGGGATGAAGATAGCTCATTGTTACAAATTCTTGATTCATGGTACGGTAGAAAGGATGTTGATGGGACGTTAGAATCTTCCATCGATGGTTCAAAATTAGATACATCAATATCAGTTGATCAAATGGAGAACTCTCCCTCTGGGAGAAAACAGAAGACTTATTCATTTGTGACTGACCAACCTGTGGACACTAAAGATAAGTTGATTGATGGTATATTGGGTAGCTTAAAGAAGTCAGGCGAGAAGTCGCCTGAGACGAGGGTGTAGCTCTGATGGTTGAGAAGAGAAGATCATTGATTTGGTTTGGCTTCTTTACATGAATTTATAGGATATGTAGTCAGCAAATAGAACACACATTACTCTAATATTTTGCTATTTATCTATGATATATGATTATAATAGGCTAGTGTATTAGAGAACTTTTTCAGAAGAGAAATTTATATTGTTTTCTACTCTTAATTTTATCTGTTTCGTTAGGCTTCTACAATGTTGATACCACTATTAGATTCACACATTTGCAAGTGCTGGAACTTTATGTTCCTATGACTATCTTTCGACTACTCAGCAGCCTATAACACAAGTCACTATTTTTATTGGGGCTAGAAAGTAAACCCCATAAATCAAAACGGTGAAAAATAAATAGAATTTGTTATCAAAATTGATTAATGGGGGTATTTTTGCGTGTAAGAAGATACTAATGAAGAAGGTAGATAGCCAAAATATAATTTATTTTGATCAAGTAATGAAGATAAAAAATACACTCATACTATTCATTTTTTGAGTTTTATACTTAAATTATTGAGTGTGTAACGTTTATATTTAAACCATTACGTATTACTTTGAGAAATATACACCTCTCTTTTATAACATTTTTTTTTAAAAAAAGAAAATTTTAATGTGTTTTTGACCGTTATCATACTAAATAGTGAAAGAGTTATAACCAAAATTAACTTTCTCCAATTTATGCTATTAAAACTTTTTTTCTCATTCTAGTTTATCAAATAATACTAAATAATTATGACACACATGAGCAAAATCTTATATTTTCCCACTTGACTTACATAATGCAATTCATTTAATTGACTTACAAACATCATTGTTGCACAAATAAATGCTTAAGTGTTATTTTTAATTGAAAACATCATTCGTTATTATTCCTACTCAAGCTTGAGACTTCGAGTTTCTTAGCGTAGAGTCATGAGTGTTCATGAGTTTTTCATGGCTTTATGTTATGCATATTTTAGTTGAATTCTTGTTTAATGAGAAGGAGTCTTCATTATTGTGTTTCCTCATGTTGATATGCATCTATGATGCGTTTCCTAAATAATACTTGTTTTAGTTGCGACTTCTATCGAAATTTTAGTAGCCACTTATACTTACTCATGAGAAAAAAGGTTGGATACGCTTTGCTAAGGGACCTAAGGGAGAGGGAAACATTGTCCTCATTAGAGAACTCTATTCTAAATTGGATAGAAATAGGGTATAGAAGTTGTCACGTATGCTAGATGTGATTTTTTATAACCCAATCAACGTGTATTGGTTTAAGTGATCATACAACCTTGCCCAAGGCATTCATGAACCAAAAGGCCAAGGCTTTGCTCAACTGGACTATCAACCGTTGGACGTTGGCTACTCATAAGATCGATATTATATGAGATTATGTGTTAAGTGGCGACTAATATAGCTTTTAATGGCTATTATAGTTGCCACTCATAAAGACTTTTAGTGGTGACTAATATAGCTTTTAGTGGCTATTATAGTCTCCTCTATTAAAGACTTCTAGTTGACACTAAAAATGTCTTTTTGTGGTGAATAATATAGCTTTTAGTAATAACTTATATAACTTTTAGCAGCGATTATAGTCGCTAAAAAAATGACTTTAGTGGCGAGTGCAGTTGCCACTAAAAAGGTCTTTTAGTGACGACTTTTTCGGCTTTTAGCAGCGAATAGAGTTGCCACAAAAAAGACATTTAGTGGCAATCTAACCACCGCTAGAAGTTATGAAATTCGCCGCTAATAGTCACTATTGGTGGCGACCTTAACTGCCGGTAAGAGCCATTGAAATTCGTCGCTAAAAGACGCTTCTTACTTATGAATGTCGTTGCTAAAAGTTACTTTTAGTGGCGACAATAATCGCCGCTAAAACTATGAATTTCGTCGCTAAAAGTCACTTTTAGTGGCAACTTTATTCGCAGCAAAACCTACAAATGTCGTCGCTAAAAGATACTTTTGGTCGCGACTTACCCGCCGCGAAAACCTATGAATGTCGTCGCTAAAAGTAACTTTTAGTGGCGAATACATCCGTCGCTAAAACTTTTGAATTTTGTCGCTAAAAGTCTCTATAGTGGCGACAATTTTATGCTTTTAGCGGCGACTTTCTTGCCACTCTTTAGTGGCGACTTATATGGCCTTTTGCAGCGATTCTTGCTGCCATGAAAAAGAAATTTAGTGGCTACTCATAACCGATTGTTTTTGCCACAAATATTTACATTTTATTATTTGTCTTTCCACAATATGTTACTTTTTCCTAAAAATTTCATTCAACTCTCCTTCCGAATAAAAAATGGATTTTTATTACTTAATGATTTTCTAAGATTAGTAAAAAAAATTAATCTAGTTGTTGATCAACTGCAAGTTGGCAAATATTTTCAATGCTTAACACCTTCTCGAAATGTAAATTGAACTCTGAAACCTTCTACATAAAGGAGCTGATTACAATCTATAGTATTTTTTATGATTGAAAAACTTTTGAGTGTAAAATGTGAAGAAAGATGAAAATGTTGTTTTATTTTTGGAGTGAGGCTAAGGATGGATGAGAATGAAGAAGATGAAGTAGGAGGGGGAAAGAGAGAAAATTGCACTTTTTATTTTTTAAAATTTGATTTTTGATTTGTCATTGAAATAATAATAATAATAATAATAATAATAATAATGACGTGTCATTAAAAATGATGTGGTGTTTGATGTTTAAAAAGAGTGTATTTACACGCACACACAATAAATGGGAAAGAGGTTTAAAATATTGGGTTTGAATGAGTTTAAGGGTTCATTTGGCAAAATAACAAGTAGAAGGGTTCAATTGAAGAACGGAGCCAATTAAGTACAAGGGTCTCCCAGATCATTCCGCCTATTTTTTTTCCATCTTTTATTCTTAGCATTAAATACATATTATTCAAATTATTTTTCAAAATCTAATATTAAACAGCGATAAGTAAAATGTACGGTGAAAGTATAAATCATCTCAATATTAATAAATTAATAGTATTTAATAGTAAAAATAAAATAATCACAAACTAATAAATTTTTTATTAATTTTATAAATTGAATTAAGTATTATTGAAAATCTTAACATAATGCGATGGACAAGTAAAAATAAAACGGGAAATAATACAGTATGATTCAAAGCAGTCCTACATTATGTAACACAATATGTAAAAGTAATATTTAGTTTGTTACAAGAATAATAATTGGAACATTTTTATGTAAACCAAACTTGTTATCTCATTCTCAATGTTTATTTTTATTTTTATAAGAAAAAATAACTAATAATTATTTAAAATTGTTCGAAAAATTCACTTAGACACTTTAATTTTATCTTATACCTATTAGGCACTTAAATTTTTTTAACATAATTTCTGTAATATATTTTTAACATGGGATAGTGTGCGTAAATTAATTTTGTAATAGCCAAATATGAATTTTCTTGTATTTCAACATAATTTGAATTTTCAATACCTATTCACATTAAGATGATTAAGTAAATTTTCTATAAGTGAGAACATATTCTTTTGTGGAAACTTACATATATATATATATACTATATTAAAAAAAATATTTACCATTTATAGCGATAATATTTTTTTTCACTTGATACTTTTAATTCATATATAATATAAGTTTAATACATATTACAGAAAGTAATTTATTATTCATATATAATATAAGTTTTAATGATGGATAATACATTTATAACACATTTTAATATACTTATAATTCAATGTGACAATTTTTTACCAAACAAACATAATATGTTTCAAAAACAATTATAATTCAAATATATTGAATAGATAATTCACTTTTAATACATATGACAAATTTATTACAATATTGCTATAAATGATAATAAACAAAAAGTATCGTTAAAATAAGTAATTATTTTTAAAATGTATTAATTTATGTAATTTTTCCGTTCTTTTGTTATTTGTAAGTATGTTCATATTTAATAATTTTTAAAGATCCATTCATTAATGCTTTGATGTCCAACAATAAAATTTATGTCTAATCGCGTGTCGAGAGAAATAAATTAGGCTTTCAATTAGGATGAATAAAAGATACTCCCTTTTTATCTGATTTAATTAAGACTAAATCTGAAATGAGACTTGATGAACATTTATATCTTTTCTATAGTTGATACTTTTTTAATATAGACTTTCTAAGACAAATTAATGATATGTTTTTAGTAAGAAGTTTAAGGGGTATTTGAAATTAGAAAAGCTAAAATAAGTTGCCATCCTTTTTTAAAAAAAATTTCAAAGGAGGAGTAACTTGTGTCTTTCACATATTTAGCAAACAAATATTTTGTCTAATGTGGAAATGACACCTAGATGATAGTTGTACTGACTCAAGTAACAGTCGAATTCAGAACTGAAAAGTGATGATTTTCAAAAGCAGTTAAAATCTAACGTTCGAACAAAAGCTATATAGATTAGTTAACCAAAAAAAGTATAGGAGGAGTAAATAGTTTTTTGATTGGAAAGAAAAAGGCCCTGTTATCACAAAAGATGCAGAGTTTTGAACTTTAAAGCTGAGGAACAGTAGTATTGTACACACAGACAGGGAGGGGGCTTTTTTATCTCAACGATGATGATGCCTGCTCTGAAAGCCGCCTTTATTCTTGGCAATGAAGCCGTTCTTTGGTTTTGGAATCTCATGAATATCCATCACCTGTATTGTCCTTTGCTTTTTAGCTTCACAAAAAGCAAAAACAATACATCAACAGTCGATAAAAATATCCAACTAAACTCTACTTTTGCTATTGCTAATAATACGGCAGTATAATATTCTAAAATCCAAAACCACACCATTTTGAGCTTCTTGGTAATTCTCCTGAAGCCGTCTTCTTGCTGAATTCAGCCTCTCAATATCTATAGCGGATTCCCTCGGAAGAGGTCTCTGCAAATACCCAGTAAAACATAAATCATAATGTTGTCGTGCATCTAACTACATTGGATGCATTGTATTTCTATATTAATTAGCACCTACAGGCTAAAGACTGACTAAAAATCACACATTCAAGAACCAAGTTAGTTATATTGCGATCACACGAGTGGATGATTGAGGAATAGATACTGCAGCAATCACCATCTCTAGTAAGGAAAAAGATTCATGTGAAAATGAATGATGCAATAGTAGTCAACTGTATACATATTGGACCTGCCGACCTGCTACCATTATTATTTAGGAAGTAGTTGAGCTAAACTAGACCAACCTAACTTTAGTCAAACACTGAAAGAGCTTCAAGTCACTCACTATACACTACCCTGAGCAGGAAACCCTTCATCTCATTATTAATCAACATACTTTCTTTAACTAGTAGTGAAAAGCAAACTATAGCAATAATGAATGTCGTACTAAACCATGCAAGTATACAAGAGTTGAGCAGTATACACTTGGGGGAGGAGCCGAAACAGGTTTAGGAGCAGACTGCAGTGGTCTAGTAGGGGTTACATTCCGTTGGGGAACTGGTTTAGGCTTGTACTCTGATTCTGAATTATTCCTGTCCGAGCTCGAACTCCCATCTAAAAGGAAAACGATTGGTCAAAGACGATCAAATGCATACTAGAGTAAGTATTAGGCAAACGGACAAAAATGACGTGTTAGACTGATACTCACTTCGAGGATTCGGTGAGTATGCAAAGTCAGGAACCTGTAAAATTCAAAAAGAAAAACAAAGAAGTTAATACAGAATGTCAAACTTAGAATCCACAACGAATGGTCCTCCGACCATACGCTCTTTCTTTCAATCTGCCCTCCACGCGCTTTTCTTAAACAACCGAGAAAACAGACTAGACACAAGTAAATTCCTTAAATTTACCTGATGATTACCATTCTGTTGATTCCTCCGTACACTCTGTTGGGGCGAGTCGTCATCAGCAGCTGCCCCATTACCATACCAAAAATAACTCATCAGTATCTTCATCATCTTCTAGTCCGTGTTTTCGTGAGACAAAAAACACAAAGCAGAGACTATATTGGTTTGTGTGGATAAATTACCAATAAGATTTGCAGACTCATGTTGCTCAGGCGGGTTGAGCCTAACCCAATCATCAACAGTTCCTTTCCATTTTCTGGCACAAAAGAGAAGAAAAATAAAATCAACTCACCCCAAAAAAAAGGGGATCACATAATCTTGCAGCTGTAACTACTCTTCAACTACTTCACGTCTAGAAAATCACAACAAAATTCATGAAAAAATCAAACCTAACAAGCATCTTCACCAATCTCCTAACTTCACTTGATGGATGCTTCCTCAATTGATTCACATGCCTTCCAATATCAGTGTCCTAACAAATAATTTCAATCCAAACACTAACTTAACGGAACAAACAACAATAAATCAATACAAAACCAAACAAAAAAGCAAAATAAAAATAGTCACCTGAAGAGCTTGGAATGTAATATCCATATCTGCTAAATTTTGAAGCAGGTCAACCACATCCTCATCCGACTAATTCATAAGTTTCAGCTCATCATTCATCAATAATCAATCAATTCAAACATAAGCTAAAATAAATGATAAAAAAATCTACCAGCTGTGGATTTTCAAGCTGTTGTTTGATTGTTAGAATTTGAGTTTGTTCATCATCATCATCAAACAGTCCTCCATACGGATCTGCATCTTCCTCTTCTTCATTCTTGTCATTACTATTCTCCTTCTCCCGTTGATTAGACTCCGGTGTTAACGGACTCTTATTCATCATCATCTCCACATTTCTAGTACCGTTATCTAACCTATGCTGGCCATTACCAACGTCATCTGAGCTCCGGGAGCGCGTGAAGTAGAGTTTTTCAACGATTCCATCACGTCGACGTTTCAATTCATCTGCACAGTCGACTGCAGCAACAGATATCGCCGCATCCATCATGGTCCATACATCTACCTTGGACTCCGATAGTATCAACCGGAATTCATCCAAATCCATTAGGAATAATTTACCGGAAAAATTGTTCAATATGTTATTGAAAATTTACTAGAGTAGATCCATGGATGAATCAGAAGAAAACGACGCCGTAATAGGAAGCATTTTTTTTAGATCTGATTATGGGAATTCTTTTAGATGATTTTTACGAGTCGTCTTCACAAACCAGACAGAGAACAGCACATAACTAGAGGGGTAGGGGAGAAGAATATGGAGGATTTTTTTGGAATAATTTTTATTATTCTTTCTCTTTGGGCTTATGTTTTAGGTTAATTATGACAAAAATTTTGGGAAGCTAAAGTGATTAACATAATCACGTTTCAATTTTCGAGAGTCAGTTTAGCTAATTTTTTCTTGAATTTTGAAGAATATTTTATCTGTTTTCTTTTAGTTGTAATTGTTTTCTATTTTTAGAATTAGATGACATGAATTTTGATTAATATTTTATAATGTATTCACATCATATTGATATAAAAAAGTTGTAATTTATAGACTTTTATGTATAGTTTTTAGATGTGTAAAATTTTATTTAAAATATCTAATTAAATTGACTCTCAAAAAATGTAATATAACAACTAAGGCTCCATTCGTACCCTTTTTGAGAGTTGATTTGATTAATTTTAAAATTAAATTAATTTGATTTTTAAAAAATTATATATTCAAAATTATACATAAAGTACCATATATATATATATATATGATGAAAAATACATTTTAAAATGCTGATTAAAATACATATTATTGATTTTCTAAAAAGGAAGTTATAACAACTAAAATAGAAAGAAGGAAATACATCATTTTAATTTAAAATTATAAAATTTTAAAAATTATATATTCTTATATTTTATATGGACTTAAACTAAGACGTAAAATTAATCATTTTTTTATTAATACTAAGGGGTGAGCTGTGAAGCAGCAAATGGTTTTCGATGCTTTTGTGTTTTCTCTCTCTATATATATTTATATATATATTCTCTCACTAGAATGTAGTGGGCATTTTTGTTTGCATATTATGGAAAGTGTATTAGGCAAGTGGGGGATTGGTGGATTTGGCTTCTTATGTTGGCGGGCTAATACTTATCTTTATAAAATACTTTCCTCCAATTATTATTTTTTTCTATAAAAGTTAAAAAGGGCAAAAAAAAAAGTTTTTAAAAAATGAATATTATAAATAAGGGAGTAAAATAAATTTGTTTCTATTTATTGAAGTATAATATTGGATTATTTGATAAGTTTGACCATTTCATTGAAGTCTTTTGACACATATGTGTTTTACAATATGATAAACATAAAAATGTGAAATGTTATTCGATAATAATTTTATTCATGGCTTATTATTTGGATAAATATTATTGGATATTAATTTTTAATATACTGAATAAGTAATTATAGATAATAGAGACAATTTATTAGCTAGAATAGATAAAAGTATAATCTGATTACTAAGTTAATGTTTAGTTATAGATTTTAATTAAAAAAAAAGATTTTGAAGTTAGTTAGAAAAATAATTTGGAAATATTGTAATTGTATTTGGACATCTATTTATTTAGAAAAAGATAAAAGATTTTTTTTTGAATGTTCATCCCAAAATTGGTATGGATCAATTCTTAAATTTTGACTTTTTAAAAAAAAGATAATTCATGAACAAATGATAATTTATTTAAATTCGAGGTGTGATTGTTATGGTATAATTTGATGATTTTAATTTACATTTTTTATTATAATTTATGAGACTCATCATTTGACCAAAATAAAAGAAGACTCAATCACTATACATCGTCATCATTTTTTTTTGTTTAATTTCATCGTAATTACAATAAATAACAAGTAGTGTTAAAAAGTTTAAACATATTATAAAATAAAAATAATATAAAAATATTAATATATTTTTCAATTCTTTTACATGATATATTTATTTAAAGTGCATCGAAAATCGATAATAAAATTGTACTCCTCTATTATAGAAAATATATAAAATATTATCATAATATGAAATTAATTAATCATGATAGTGAAAGCGAAAGATCATAAAGAAGGTGGGGATATAGCATTAAAAATTTAAGGTCATGAAGAAGGAGGAACATAATGGTAAAATATAATGAGGAAATAAAGGAGATTATATACAATTTTTCATAATAAATTATTGTCTTTTGATGATTTTGTAAAACTGAAAAATATCTCAAAATTGAATATAAAAATAAAATATTAAAAGATGAAGAGAATGAAAATAAAAATGAAAGAAGAGTGCTTTTTTTTTTTACTTTTTAAGTGTTATATCTTTAGTGTTCATAGAAACATAGAAAAAGATTATAATATGACATTAATTATAAAAAGAATTAAAGGGAAAAAATCATGAAAAAGGTAAAAGACATAAAATGAAAGTAATATGAGACAAAATACTACTACGAAGCAATAGAGAGATAACATTGGAGACAAATATATTCAAGTACATAGAATGTAAGCTCTTGTACCTTTATTTTTATGTTGTTGATAAAAGACATACAAAAGATTAGTATAACATGACATTATTTATGAAAAGTACAAAAATATATTATGGAGAAAGTGGAAGACATAACATTAAGAATTTGAGGTCGTAAAAAAGTCGAAACACAATGGAGAAACAAAAAAAAAATTAAGAAATTACAATTAGTGATTATCCATATAAATAAAGTATTTATTATATTTGACGTAAATTATTAGTTTTGTTGTTGAATTATTGACAATTTTAAAAGTATTCCTTGACTCGATTAACTTAATTTAGATATATCTCGACTTGTCACATGACATAAGTGGTCTTAAACTCTTGTAGAAGCATGAAACCCATGATGAAAAATCCAGAGAAGTATTGTAAATGTCCCTAAATTTGACGAGAATTTAGGGTGTTTCGCTCATGTTTCAAGATAAAAAGGTATATTTAAGCTCAGTAAGTCAAGTAAATGAGAGTTTTCAAGGTTGTCAATAGTTTTGAGGATGAAACTAATAATTTACGTTGTGTTTTGAGATTTCTTCAATAGTTCTCCTTTAAATATTCTCTATAAATTAGAATATTTGAACTAGGGGGTGTATCTAGGAGTAGGTCATTGCGTTCACGTGAGCCATGTTCTCCTCTTGAGATTATATAGCGTAGTATTACTATTTTTTACTCTCTTCGTTCGATGATAGTATTATATCATTTTGGGATGTCAAATAAAACTCCGCTTTATGAAATCAATGGTAAATTTTATACTTAGTTCCTAATTTACCCTTATCATTAGTTATAATTATTTCTCTATTACATTTTCAAGACATTATATTTATTATATTCAAAGGGTAATAGTAAAATGATCTTTTTATTTATATTTTCTTAAAAAATGTGGAAAATCAATAATGAACAAGTATTGTTGGACATATAGAGTAGAAAACACTTAAATATAAATTTGTGAACTCACAATTAGGTATCATATACTACGATTATGATTGAGTGCACCTATCTAAGTAAGGATAAAAATTCAAATCTTATATCTATTTTGTCTTTTTCGTTCTAAAATTTGATAATACTTTTGGCGTTCTAATTAATAATTTTTTCTTTCTTTTTTAGTTTTAACCTTTCAATTTTTTTAAGTTTGTCATATATATTGAAAATTCCTAATTATTTTAGCAATGTAATTTTTCTATTTAATCAAACCAAATGTGTAAATAAAACTATTTGTACTCGATATATATCATACAATCAACGAGTTCAACTGATCTCAATATCTTTTATATGAAAATTACTTTTTGAATGTCTCCTATAGGTTAGTTTGAGGTGGGGGGAAGTTGCTTAGTCTATGAAGCTATTGAGAAAGTTCGGCTTATTAGGGAATGGTTGAAAATAACTCAAAGTAGACAAAAGTCATATGCCGATGTTAGAAGAAGTGTTCTTGAGTTTGATGTTCACGATTAAGTTTACTTGAAAATCTCACCCATGAAGGGTGTAATGAGAACGTGAAGCTTAGTCTCCCGTATGTAAGCCCATATCAAATTTTGAGACGTATTTGTAAGGTTACCTATGAGTTAGATTTTGCCAAATGAGTTGGCATCAGTACATTCACTTTTTCATGTCTTCATGCTTAAAAAGTGTGTTGGAAATCTGACATCCATAATTCTCCTAGAAGGGTTGCAAGTTGATGAAAGTCTCTCTTATGAGGAAGTTCTAGTTGAGGTTTTGGACCGGCAAGTTAAGAAGTTAAGGAATAAGGAAATTGCTTCCATAAAAGTGTTGTGAAGGAATCACTTAGTTGAGAGTGGTACTTCACAGGTCGAGGCCATTATGATGTCCCGATATCCTCATCTATTTCCTTCTATTCCTACTCTAACTTGAGGTAATGAGTTCCTCTTGGTTTGTTCTATGTTTTGGAGTCATATATGTATGCTATGTGTTCCATGATTTCTTTATGATGATTATGCATGTTCTTGAAAAGTTAAAGTTTTTTAAAAAATCACTTTGTATGGTTTATTTTCCTCATGTTGTTGTGCACCGACTATAAGTTGCATATATATTTCATGAAATAAAAAATTGAATGTGTTTGAAAACAATCAATTATCGATAAGAACTAATTTTTTTTATATAAAACCCCTACATGAAATATCATTACTTAATGTTTTTCTTCTCTTTTTTAATAATACTTTCATAAACATTTTCTCTCTTGATAGTGTTATCATATTTTAAAAAATTTAAACTTTTTTTTCTTTTAATGGTGCTTTCATATTATTAGAATTTTCATAAAAAGGATTTTTACCGCAGATTGGACTATTATTTGAAAATTACAAATGTTCGTACGTTTTGTCACTTTTATTATGGAGAGTCAAAAGTATTAATTTTTTATGTTAAATCAAATTAAATATTTAAAATTAAAATAAAAACTATTTAAAAAATAATAAAATAAAATTTAAATATTTTATATTAATATAATCAAAAATCAAATTTAAAATATTAATAAAAAAAATTATATAATTTAATTCCAAATTAATGTAATAAAATAAAAACTTCAAATCGAGTCAAGATTAGAATGTTCTAACCGACTGGACAGCCTCTTAGCCCAGAGTGAGGGACAGGGTCGGTGCCTGTCATAAAACTCTCACTTAAATAAATGTGTAAAAATAGTAAGAATTTAATTTAATTTGGCACAGTTCAAAAAAAAAAATTTAAAAATAAAACAAGTGATATATATTTATCTAAATATAATTTTTTTATTAAAGATAAAATTCGATATTTTAAAATTATTT